ATGATGATGATGATGATGATGATGATGATGATGATGATAATGATAGTAAGTATAGTGATAGGGAATTGTAACCAAGAATAATAATGATCATGGCCTATACTAATAATAATCATAATAATAATCATAATAATAACCAATGAGAATAATAATAAGCATAATAATAATAATCAAATAAAACAATGATAATGATAATAATAATAATAATAATAATATAATAATGTAATAATAATAAAATAATGATGATTAATAATAATGATATACTAATAATAATGATACTAATTAATAATAAAAAAAAATAACAATAATAATAATAATAATAATAGTACTAATAAAATAATAATAATAATAATAATATAATAATGGTGTAATAATATGATATTAATGAAAATATGAAATAAAAGTAGTTTAGTAATAATAATCACACTGCTGATGGTAATTTACAATGATAAGATATAATATGATAATGATAATATAATAATGATAATAATAAAAGTAATAGTAATGATGGTAAATTAATAATAAGTAATAATGATGATAATAATGATGATAATAATGATGCATAACATGTGATTAATAATAATAATAATGGTCCTAATAATTATGATTAATAATGATAATACTATATAAAATATAATATATTATTATAATAATAATGAAACAGTAAATAACAACAATAATAATAATAATAAACAAGTAATAATAACAATAATGATAATGATAATAATAATGATAATAATGATAACAATAAAATAATAATTATGGACAATAAATGATAATAATAGTAGTAATAATAACAATAGTAATATAAGCAATAGTAATAATTTAATACTAGTAATAAAATAATAATAATAATTAATGGAGGATATGTGTGTGTGTGTGTTTAAAACATTCAAATACACTCTCCACGATGACTCCTTGAAGGTCGCGTTCGTGACGGTTGTCATTCGCCTGCCCTTAACTACCTCGGGTTTTAAGTTAAGACGACCGCCGCTATACTCCTCGGTTTGGGTCTGTTACTGTGTATTTCCTTTAATTTTTTTCTGTTTTTTATTGTTTGTGCTTGGTAGGTGTCTTTTAAGGTGATGTTCGGTAAGGAAGGAAAGTCTTGTGGGAGGTCAGTCGGAAAATTTTCCGCGCATGTCAACCAATCGTACAGTTAAAAAAGTGTATGGAATGGATACCTTGACGAAAACTTAAGGACACTTTTCATCTATGGCAAAAAATCTGCGCCAAATCTAAAATAAGGGAGATATAGGCAGAGAAGAGAGAAGCTCGACCCTGCATTTTCTAAGTACACTCCAGTTTACCTTGCGAGATCAAAAAAATGGTGACGCGTAACTCATTACTGCGATCCAGCAAGTCGCCATGTATTGCTACGGCGACTTGCGGGAAAACGCGTATTTGTCATTTACTAGAGTCTGATTCTTGAATCATTGTAGTATGCATCTCTTCTAAGTTTTAATATACTCTCTTGCGTCTTTTGGTTAATTTTTTACGTTATTCGTACAATAACCTTGGCAGCGGTGTTTCACCGGGAGATGTGACAGGTCGACCCACCGCCATTCGCTCGAAAACGGTGAGTAATTATGATGTTTCTGTCAAGTGCTGTGTCGAACCATCGGGTTATTTTTAAAACTATATTGTGGATTATACAGGACAAATAGGACATTATTCTCAATCACAGCATGAATTTGAGCCAACAAGTGCCCCAATGCCAAAAAAAGTGATTAGAAACCAAGCAATTCTGACCATGGACGGAGCGCACAATCGTTCGGTTTTCGTTTTTTATAAAGGTATGTGGATATTACTACGGGGGCCAGGGGGCGTAGCCCCATGTCTAGGCGCACTAATACCATGGGGGTCCAGGGGGCAGAGCCCCCTGGCTAGGGAATGTATAGATCGTAGTGTATAAATCCCACAGGGTTAGGCTAGGCTAGGTAGGTTAGGTTAGGTTGGTTTGTTGGTTAGGACGCATTGTACGATTATCACAGGGGATTGGTTATGTGAAATCCGTAGATTTTTACCGAACGGTGGTTTGGTTCCCGTAGAGTTTTTTCGAAATCTGGCGCGTCGGCCCGTTAGACTTTGAAAGATGGCGGCGATGTCCGTAGAGTTTCATTGTCCGATTTTAAGCGTTTTTTGTGCTGGTTTTACACATTTCTGCTCTCCATTTTGCTTATTTCAGCCTGTTTTACCCCCGTAATTTCCCTGATCTACTTCCTCGCCCGCCCCTGCTATCGGGACTTATGAAAACACATCAAGATTGTCGGCTGGAGAATCCGACGGAGAAATTCTAGTCAGATTAGTTTTTCATCACACGATGAACAAAGTTGATGATTAAACATGTAGGGAAGCCCCCAGTGTCATTCTTCGGAAATTTAACGGTCATTCTAGCTTGTTGTTGTGGATGCGCGGAGTATTTGTTTGTAAAATTAAGAGTGGAAATGATAGAATGATTGTTCATGGGATACGATGGTGGGTAAAGTCCCTCTCGAGCACAGAGGAGAGTGGAGATTAGAATATGGCCAGTAATTCGCTAGTAATTAGGGGGTAAAATCGACAGAACCGAAGACGAGAGAGGGTATGGTGGTAGTGTGTCAGAGGATGGATTATTAGATTTTGATAGGCTATATTTTATTCTGCAGTTACTTATAGACAATGTTTAGGTCCGGTTTCTTGTTGCAGCCAGAATATAGAGGGTTAGTTTTATTTTTTTTATTTTTTTGTGTCTTGTCTTTGCTTGAGTTCCGACAGGGTGGATAATAAAAGTAGATATTGATGTTAAAAAAAAAACCCACTGGGAAATGTAGATATTCATACATCTTATATAAGGCAAATAATTGATTTAGAAAAACAGAAGTTGAATGATCTCGACACTGCGACATTGTAAACCATGCGCTGGAAGTCATTACACCAATATTGCTGAGATTGCTTTCTGTGACTTGACTCCCCCCATTAAGTTTATATTGGTGGCGAGTCCCTCCCTATTCCGAACCATATTAACTCCCCCTGCCAATGCAAAATTGTTGGCATTCGGTACGAATGATTCACACCTGCTCAGGCCCATAGCCTGTCGCCAGTGTAGTGGCTCCGGTAATCTATTTTAAAGGGGCGGCTATACTTACAAGTTGAGTCTGCGCTGGCAGACTCATGCTTCAACCAAAATTGTCCTCACTTTAATGAGGGGCCAGAAAGGAAGCAATCCCAACTCCAGTGTGCATTTGCTCACTCCCCCCTTCCTCCCAGGTGTTTCTACACACCCTGAAGTATCTATCTCAGCCACTTTAGCGCGATCCCGCGCCCCAGTAAATTTCTTTTGCATTCTAAAGCTAGCAAACTCCACTTCTACTATGTTCATGAAATGCCAGGCACTCCAATCTATTACGTCACCCATACCTTTACATGATTCATTGCCAAGAAGGCAGTTAAGTTCCACCCCATCTTCTAGTTTGTGCCACATTCTCTACTGTGTTAAGCCTCTTCTCAGGCACAGAAAAGGTGCATGAACCGCGTGTTCAAATCCGAAAAAAATTTGGTTCTACAGGACCGAAAAAAAAAGAAGAGAAAGGAGACATCAATGGGGGAGAAATGTCCGAGTTAACAATTCCCAAATTCTGAGGACTCTGTATGACATTTAAAACTCCCTTTCCTTCTACACTTAATGTGACATTGACATTCATATCCCCTACTCATGTTACCATCTGAACACCTATTCCTCCCACTCACTCTCAACCACATCACATTCCTTCTACTTCATCATCTCCCTTCCTTCCCTGTTATCCCTTCTGCTTCCTCCAGATATACATGTCACAACAACCTCATTCCCTGGATGCTCTTCCTCCTGACATTTCTCTTGAAACTGCTCTTTGATCTAATTACTCTTAAACCCTCCCTTTTCTCCTTTTTCTAACCCTTGCCAAACCCTGTGGACATCTTTGCAGAGTCCAACATTTATTTCTTTGACAACTTTGATCTAATCACCCTTTAATACCTACCTTAGTCCATTTACTCACCCTCTCTACCCTCACCTCTCTTTGTGCCTTTCAATGCCATGCTGTCCTGACCTGCTACTGTATGACTTTTGTAACACATTTAGTCATCACTACTACACCTTCTTATAGTGCTATATGACCTTTGATGTTTAGCACATTTCTTCTTCTTTGTAACCATTAACCATCTAGTTTTTATGCCACACCTCTTCAAAAAGTGGAATAGTTATGCATGATTTTTTTTTACTTATTTACCTGCTTTAAAGGAGACTGTTTCCATTGGACTATTCTCTTTATTTCTTTTATTGTGATTTTTTTATTTATACCATAATGTACTTAATTTATATTGAAATAAAAAGATCTATTCTGTAACATGAGTATAATTTGACATTTTCTCAAAATCTTGATATAGCCATATAGTGTAGAAGTACAGTAATAGTAATATAATATGCTATAGTTTTTCAGTTATTTATATGAGAGTGTCTGTTTATGTATTTGTGCATATATGAAGAAATATAGTGAACATGAGCATTGATTTATTCCATAATGATATAACTATGTATCTCTTTGCAGGAACATCATCACAATGGATTGGTTCTATATTGCCGCTGGGTGTGTTGGTATCGCACAGGTGGTGTTTGACTGCTGGACTTGGGTGCAGGCATTTAAAATACTTGGATTTTTGGCTCTTTTAAGGTAAAATAATAGTTATAGTAATGTATATATTTATCAAAGGAGCTCATTATCCTTATGGTACTTTTGAGCGGAGCAGTTTTACTTTTTTTATTTTTAAGAAAAAATTATCTTTGATGTAATTTCTGTTCCTGTATTTTTTATAATTGTATTTCTGGATTTTTAAAAATTCATTCATGACAGAGAAGTATTTGATCATCATAACCCATTGGCCTCAGGTACATGTGATGTCCATTGTAGTTTTTGTGAATTTTGTTGCATACAGATATAGGAATCTAGTAATAGGTCATGTGTGATCTCACCTGATTTCTCTATTCCTTGAAGTTTTGTGATTTCTTTTCATCTGGTGCTATCAATATTAATACTGTTATTATTATTAACATTAATATTATTTTAATGTTATTGAAAGACTAATAACAGTAAAAGAAAGACAAGAATTTTTCAGAAAATCAAGGAAAAAGGTAAACAGATGAGACAGGTAGGACTAGTAACTGACAACCTTCGTCACTTAGCGCTTGTGGAGACATCTTTGTGTAAAATAGAACTGATAAACTAAACTATCAGTAGACATAGCATTTGTGTCATGCTGTTCCATGTGGATGATGACATTGGGAAACAAGTCTGAAAGTTTCCTCTAAATGAATTGAGTTGTTAATGATAGATCTAGTTCTTGTTCACAATTTTTTTTTTTGTGGCAGAGGGTGTAAGATTTTCAATATTATGGTTCCAGATTAGAAAAATGTATTTCAAGGGGAAAAAATTCCTTGATATGAATCTTTTCAATTTTGTTTCTTATTGGACAGTAGTCTAATACTCATTTTAAAGTAATGTTAATGAAATCCATTATAATTCCAGATATGTTATATTACCAGCAGACTGTGATCTAACCCTCTTCCTGTTCAAACACTTTGGAAAGCCAGTTGGTAAGTTAGAAAATATTTATGTATAAGTAATACCGTATGGTTAATATTGTCATGAATAACTTAATATTTTTAGCATTCCTTGAATATCAAACACTTCATGGAGCTAGTTGGAAAATATTTGAAATTCATTGAAATATGACTGATTCAGTTTGTTTTATATATCACTTACTGAAGTAAAGTCTTTTCCTAATGAGAGGAGACGTTAACATTCTAAAATTGAAGTCTTTCTTGATTATAGAAAATCAACAGTTTGAGCAGCGAGATATAAAGAATAATTGAAAACCTATTTTAGAAAACATAACTACATTATGATAGTGATATTAACAAGTGCAGTGCCATTTCTGTTATAATCATGCAGTTAATACAATTAATGAACTAAATAACTTTTATATGTTTTTGATTTTTTTTGTAGAGAGTCTTGAGGGTCAAGTAGTGTGGATCACAGGAGCCTCAAGTGGTATTGGCAAAGCGCTTGCTATTCGACTGGCAAAAGCAAAAGTTAGAGTTGTTCTTTCTGCACGGTCTGTAGAGAACTTGAATGAGGTGAAGCAGAAATGTATCGGTAAGTGCATGTCTTGTTGATTATCATTGTTTAGCTTTAGAGAGAGAATAATATAAGCGTACTTGCCATAAGTCTGTACAATTATAATCATCAATCAGTTCTGTCGTTATGTCTTCCATGCGTTGTATTGTCTTGTCTTATTCTTACTTTATGTTTATTCTGAGCTTATGCTTATGCACATTTTCTATGATCATTTAGTTATTTCAGATTTTATAATTATTATTATTCTCAAACATCCATGAAGGGCACCCAGTGTACTTTTTTTCACCTCAGTAATCTGCCATGATAAAGCTTATGGGTTTACATAATATACATCTAGTGGTGATATATGGTGATATAATGTTAACTTTTGCCTAATTTGGTGGTAGAAGGGCTTTAAACGTGATGGATTGAGATAATTGATGGTGACACAAATGTTGAGCTGAAATTGTTATTTATTGGTATGACATGACATACATGCTACCCAGAGGCCAGCAAGTAATTGTACAATTAACTTATAGCTTTGGAACCCCAAATCTTTTTTACCTTTTAAAGGTAAATGTCAGTCTGGAAATGAAAGGAACTTAGTAAATTCAAAAATGTATGGATAAATGTGTACTTTTTGGAAAGACATTTATAATTATTAAAATAATATGTTATAACATAACTGATATACATGAAGAGATTGTATATAATTTTATCCACATGTATTTGTCTATTTAGTTTTTGTGAAGTATCTGGAGGAATATAAAATACCTATATTAATATAGTTAAGAAATTAATTTAGGAGACTGGAGAGTGAACTACTTTTATATTCTGGGCTTATGTACTAATATCTAGAACCCTCAATAAATTTTTGGAAATGTTTAATTAATTGTACTGACTCTTTAAGAAGCTG